CACACCGCACCACATTCTTCCCCCTCCCCCCCTCTCTCTCTCTTTTCTGGTCCCATTTTGAAGGGTGCGGGACGCCACCTTGGCGATGGATGTCCCTCCCGCACGACAGGCCATACCCGACGCGTCCACGACCACTGTGATAAGCTGTACTCCCCTGAATGTAATGTAACGAGTCCCGGCCGCAACTGGACGCGGTGCTACGCGAGTTTGTCACGAACACTCTTGACCGGACGCCATACTATTTATTTCACGCGGGCTTCGAAGTTTGTTGTATAAATTGTCGCAGAAACGGGATGAATTGCGCGGACTCCCGCGACACAACGGCCTCGGCGACGCGCTAAAACCTCCGCCGCGCGCGTGTGCGGCCATGCGCGAGGATGAGAGGCGAGGAGCCGGACGACGACGTCGCCAACGACGACGACGTCCCCCCGCCCGCCCCCTCCCTCTTTTCCATCCCTTCATCTTTCTCGCTCTTTCCGTCTTTCCCGTCGTCGCCACTTGTTTCGTTCTCGAATCCGAGATTATGAGTGTTGCAGGCGCGGGTTCTCACGACGTGAACTTGGAACCGGTTCCACATACACTCACTCCACACTCGCTCACTCGGTGCGCCGGGCCGGGGCTGTGTCGCCCCTCGCCCCCTTGCGCCCAAAGCACCAAAGCGTGCAACGACTGCATCAGATCGCTGACTGGCGCGCCCGGCGGCCCGGCAGAGTGGAGGAGGCTTTATTCGCATATGAGAGAACATGGCTATTATTATTATTCGGGCTATACGCAGAGCTCAAGAAACACTACTTGAGAAAAGTCAAAATACTTCATCATATTATCATTGAGATTGATTTGTTCTGCTTCCATTTCTTTTCCGCGTTCAGCTGCCCACAGTCGCGCTCAACGAATATCGGCCGAAATAATTTCGAGCACGGACTACGCGAAAATTCAATAATTGCAACTTGGGAAGACGTCAGAAGCAAATGTCTGCGCAAGGCAATATTCGGGAGCGCCTTATTAAGGGGGGAAACACGAAGACAAGGCGCAGGAAAGAAAGGAGAATAAAGTATCATAGAAAAGTACAAGGCGCCGCAGAAACGAATGAGAACGTCTGAGAAATGGGGACCCCGACCGGCGCGGCGGCACCCCCGAAGACCCACGCGACCAGACGAGGCGCGGGGGGCGACCAGACAAACCGAAACCCCCCAGACAAAACGGCCCGACCCAAATTAGCGACACGAGGATAAAGAGATAAACACTCGTTTAATAGTAAATAATACGAAGGGAATCACACCCGTAGCCGTAGGAGAGCCGGCCGGGCCCCGGGCCGAGAGGTGTACCATAATCACGGGGTGCCAAACGTTCTCGGAACGGAGACGAGCCACCAAAACTACAATTAGGACGGACGGGGTCCGGGCCCGGGTGGGAGTGGCAGGGGCCGCCAGCCCGTCCAGGTGTCACTCTGACCCGCCGACCGGCCGAGTTGTCATTCCCGACCGAAAACTTTATCGGACAGAAATAAGAAACGGACCGGACCGGAGCTTGTGTTTTAAAGCCGCGTAAGCGTTTCGGCGAAGAGCATGCTCCGCACAAACTAATTTGCCGAGAGATTCGACACGGGCGCCGCGAGGAGCAACATCGAACCGATTTGTCTGCGTTCACCTGACCTCCGACAGGCCGCCGGCCCATTTGTAGTTGGTCGCTGGAACACGCAGCGGAGCCGAAATGCCATTCGCAGCTTTAGCCTCCATATTGTGCGGCGCGGCCCCGCGTCACCCGCTTCCGTGTCCGAGACCATGTCGTTTTCAACAACGCCCACCGCCCCAATTTCCTCCCGCTTTTCTTTCCCTTTACTCCCCCCTTTCCCTGCCCGGCCTACGCGGCCCTTTTTTCCTGATGAAGGATAAAACGGTCGCACTCGCGCCGCGGCCGAGCTGACCGCGCGCGCCGCCGAGACCGACTCGAATTATTAACTTCTGTTTTGCCTTCTTTCTCTTTAAAAATGCGGCGGAGGGGTTGGGCCGCGCCGCGGCGACGCACACGGCCGGGCCAAAAGGGCCGCGCTTGCACGCAACCCGGGGCCAGGGCCGCCACGCGAGGGCAGGACGAGTGAGCAGAACAGGCTACAGTACCTGGCGGTGGTGCAGTCGCGGTACAGCGTGTCGAAGTCCTTGCAGGAGAGCAGCTTGCAGCGGTTGACGCCGGGCTGGATGGCGCCCAGGCCGCGGAGGATGCGCACCTGCTCCACGTTGCAGA